CAGCCTGGCTAACATGGTGAAACCCCATCTCTACTAAAAATACAAAAATTAGCTGGGTATGGTGGCGGGCGCCTGTAATCCCAGTTACACAGGAGGCTGAGGCGGGAGAATCTCTTGAACCCGGGAGATAGAGGTTGCAGTGAGCCAAGACTGCACCATTGCACTCTAGCCTGGGCAACAGAGGGAGACTCTGCCTAAAAAAAAAAAAAAAAAGCCTACCTTCAAGGAACCAGTGTAATAGGGAAAAGACTGATAACAGAGATGGGGAGGGGAGTAAAATGAAAAAAGCCAGAAAGAAGCATTACCCCCAGAAGAGTCATATTTCGCTTGGCAAGGAGCCTCAAGAGTGCTGGTACAGATTAAATGGCCTAGAAACTTGACCTGTAGGCTTGTCAGTTCACTTGTCAGTTCTATAAAAGCAAGCAAGGCTATTCAATCTCAGTCTTTATTCCCTGCCTACCTCATTTGCTCCAGCCCGCATCACGAGAACAAGTAAAATTCCTTTCTCTACTTCATCCTCCTTTAGAAGACTGGGTGAAAGGAACAACTTTACTCCCAGAAAGCTTCTTTTTCCAAGGAACCTAAAATGCCAATCCATAAAAAATCTAGATTTCATTGATAAGAACTTTAGAGTTCAGCAAAAGAGCTAGGGAATCTCAAGTATTCCCCTAACAGCAACCCAAGTTGAGGCCATTTGAATAGCTGTCTGATATCCAAGGAGCCTCTGGAGAACAGAAAGGAAAAAAAAAAATCTATGTTCAAGGAAGATGAACTTGAGTTCAAGATTCACTTAAACAGAAGCCTATAAGGATTATTATTCCTTTCTTAGAATGTTCCCAATAAACCAGAAGAAAAAGAAAGAGAATCCAAATGACTATATAAATATGTGATGGCATGTTGGTAATAATAATAATGCTTTGTATTTCTCTAGCACATCCTTTCATGAAGATTATGTTTTGCATGGTACTGTACAAAAACAGACACGTAGACCAATGGAAAGAATAGAATACTCAAAAATAAAGTACACACTTAAAACAATCTTATCTTTGACAAGGCTGACAAAAACAAGCAATGGGGAAAGGACTCCCTGTTTAATAAATGGTGCTGGGATAACTGGTGAGCCATATGCAGAAGAATGACACTGGACCCTTACCTTTCACTATATACAAAAATTAACTCAAGATAGATTAAAGATTTAAATGTAAGACCTCAAACTATAAAAATCCTAGAAGAAAACCTAGGAAATATCCTTCTCAACATCAGCCTTGGCAAATAATTCTTGGCAAAGTCCCCAAAAGCAATTGCAACAAAAATAAAAATTGACAAGTGGGACCTAATTAAACTAAAAAGCTTCTGCACAGCAAAAGTAACTATCAATAGACAACCTACAGAATAGGAAAAAACATTTACAAATTATGCATCCAACAAAGGTCTAATATCCAGAATCTGTAAGGGACTTAAATCAAGAAGCAAAAATCAAATAACCCCATTTTAAAATGGTCAAAGGACATGAACAGACACTTTCTCAAAAGATGATATATAAGTGGCCAAGAAACATATGAAAAAATGCTCATTATCACTCATCATCAGAGACATTATCACTCATCATCAGAGAAATGCAAATCAAAACCACAATGAGATACCATCTCATGCCAGTCAGAAGGACTATTATTAAAAAGTCAGGGAAAAAAAAACCAAAAAAAAACAGATGCTGGCAAGGCTGCTAAGAAAAGAGGATGCTTACACACTGTTGGTGGGAATGTAAATTAGTTCAGCTACTGTGGAAATCAGTTTGGAGATTTCTCAGAGAACTTAAAACAGAGCTACCATTAGACTCGGCAATCCCATTCATTAGTGGGTATGCCAAAGGAAAATACATCATTCTCCCCACGCACTCATACATTCATTGCTGCACTATTCACAATAGCAAAGACATGGAGTCAACCTAGGTGCCCATCAAAGTTAATTGGATAAAGAAAATATGGTACATATATACCATGGAGTACTATGCAGACATAAAAAAAAGAATGAAATCATGTCCTTTGCAGCAACATGGATGGAGCTAGAGGCCATAATCCTAAGTGAATTAATGTAGGAACAGAAAACCAAATACCACATGTTCTCACTTATAAGTGAGAGCTAAACATTGAGCATTCATGGACATGAACATGGGAGCAACAGACACTGTGGACTGCTAGAGGGAAGGAGGGAGGGGGGTAATGGGTCAAAAACTATCTATTGGGTACTATGGTCACTACCTGGGTGCAATGTACCCATGTAACAAACCTGCACATGTATTCCCTGTATCTAAAATAAAAGTTGGAAAAAAAGAAGATTAATGTATTTTTAAAGTGTTTATCTCATTCAGCCTAAAAACAGTTCTGTGATATTCAAAAAGTGGTAATCAGTTGGGCATGGTGGCTCATGGCTACAATCCCAACACTTCAAGAGGCCAAGGCGAGAGGATTACTTGAGTCCTGGAGTTCAAAACCAGCCTGGTCAACATACTGAAACACTGTCTCTACAAAAGAAAAATTTTAAAATTAGCTGGGCATGACAGCACATACCTGTAGGCCCGGCTACTAGGGAGGCTGAGGCAGAAGAATTCCTTGAGCCCAGGAGTTCAAGGATACAATGAGCCATGATGATGCCACTGCACTCCAGCCTGAACAACAGAGTAAAATTCTATCTCAAAAAAATAAAAAAGGTAGTAATCATTTTGACTTTTATACATTCTAAGCATACTTTACAAAGAAGTATGACCTTCTTTTTTTTTTGAGACAGAGTGTCTCTCTGTCGGCCAGGCTGGAGTACAGTGGCACCATCTCGGCTCACTGCTACCTCTGCCTACCAGGTTCAAGAGATTCTCCTGCCTCAGCCTCCCAAGTAGCTGGGATTACAGGTGCGTGCCACCATGCCCAGCTGATTTTTGTATTTTTAGTACAGATGGGGTTTCACCATGTTGGTCAGGCTGGTCTCCTACTCCTGACCTCATGATCTGCCCTCCTCAGCCTCCCAAAATGTTGGGATTACAGGCGTGAGCCACCTCGCCTGGCCTAAGAATGACCTTTCAAATATATAATCTATGAAAGATATCCTCCCTCTAGAAATATTTCTTTAAAAAATTTTTTAAGTTCTAATTTTCATGGGTACATAGTAGGTGTATATATTTTGGGGGCACATGAGATGTTTTGACACAGACATGCAATGTTAAATAGTTACATCATGGAGAATAGAGTATCCACCCCATCAAGCATTTATCCTTTGTGTTACAAACAATCTAAATATACTCCTTTTTTTTTTTTTTTGAGACGGAGTCTCGCTCTGTCACCCAGGTTGGAGTGCAGTGGCGCGGTCTCAGCTCACTGCAAGCTGCACCTCCTGGGTTCACGCCACTCTCCTGCCTGAGCCTCCCGAGTAGCTGGGACTACAGGCGCCCACCATCACACCCAGCTAATTTTTTGTATTTTTAGTAGAGACAGGGTTTCACTGTGTTAGCCAGGATGGTCTCGATCTCCTGACCTCATGATCCACCCGCCTTGACCTCCCAAAGTGCTGGGATTACAGGCATGAGCCACCGCACCTGGCCAACTCTTTGAGTTATTTTTAAATGAACAATTAAGTTATCACTGACTATAGTCACCCTGTTGTGCTATCAAATAGCATGTCTTATCCATTCTTTCTATTTTTTTTTTTGTACCCATCAACCATCCCCACCTCTTCCCCCAGCCCCCAGCTACCCTTCCCAACTTCTGGTAACTATCCTTCTATTCTCTTTGTCCATGAGTTTAATTGTTTTGATTTTTAGATCCCACAAATAAGTGAGAACATCCAATGTTTGCCTTTCTGTGTCTGGTTTATTTCACTTAACATAATGATCTTCAGTTCTATTCATGTTGCTGTAAATGACAGGATCTCATTCTCTTTTAGGGCCGAATAATACTCCATTGTGTATATGTACCACATTTTCTTTACCCATTCATCTGTTAATGGACACTTAGATTGCTTCCAAATCTCAGTACTCTAAACAGTGCTGCAACAAACATAGGAGTACTGATATTTGTCGATATACTAATTTCCTTTCTTTTAGTTATATACCCAGCAACGGAACTGCTGGATCTTACAGCAGCCCTATTCCTAGTTTTTTGAGGAACCTCCAAACTGTTCTCCATAGTGGTTATACTAATTTACATCCCCATCAACAGTGTAGAAGTGTTCCCTTTCTCCACATCCTCGCCAGCATTTGTTATTGCCTGTCTTTAGGATATAAGCCATTATAACTGGGGTGAGATGTTATCTCATTGTAGTTTTGATTTTCATTTCTCTGATGATCAATGATGTTGAGCACCTTTGCTTATGCCTGTTTGCCATTTGTATGTCTTGTTTTGAGAAATGTCTATGCACATCTTTTGTCCGTTTTTTGATGGGATTATTGGATATTTTCCTATAGGGATGTTTGAGCTCCTTATATATTCTGGTTATTAATCCCTTGTCAGATGGGTAGTTTGCAAATATTTTCTTCCATTCTGTGGGTTGTCTCTTCATTTTGCTGATTAGAAATACTCTTAAATCATTAAGTGATTGGCACAGCATCCTGTAGAAAGAAAACTGCAAGGAGCATTAGCCTAAACAATTCCATGAGAAAAGCCAGCCATGAAAAAAACAGGCTAGATGAACACCAGCTAAAGAAAATCAAAGTGAATATTTTGAATAAAGGAGAAAGTTAAAAGAGGAACCTGAAGAAACAGATCTAATAGATCAAACAAGCAGTTATTAAGCTACTGTAATCAAAACCATTCATGAGGCATCGCTGGACAAAACTAGCTGCACCAAAGGCATGATCCAAAACATGTTTGGGCGGCCCAAAACCAACCTACCAAAACTAAACATTCACTGCCACTACATAATCAGCATTGTCCCACTCTGTTCCTCAAGTGTCCTGCCTGCTTCCAAGCGCCTCCTCTGGGTTCACTGTATTAGTACGACATTCATGTACTTACTATTCAGTGAAGAACCTGGCAATTCCATATTGGCTGATATCTTCCCTGTTCTCTAGCAGCTGGCACACTGCATCCTCCATGTAGGTGAGGACATGTCGCTGAGCTGTAATCAAATAGCAAGAGAGAAAGAGAAAATGAGAGAAAGATTTAAAAAAGAATGATCCCAATCCTAATAGGAGGTCATGTGTAAGGCAATCCAAGTGTTGGCTCTGTCTGATGACACTTCATCAGTGGACTGGAATAGGCAAAGCAAACTTGCTGACCCTAACTGAGCTATAGTTTCAAAGGATAGATTGAGAGATGATGTGAACATGACCTATTGCCATTTGACTGGCTGTTAGTATTAGCATCAACCCTTTATTCTTCATTTCAATGACAACGGTGGGTTGAAGAGGAGATTTAGCACCATTCAGCAGATACATCTGGAAGTTCTTTTCTTTCTACCTCCTATTCTTTTCCACTTCTGCATCAGAAACTTATCCAGGGAGTTTGTAATTCCATGCTTGAAGCATGGATGGTATGATTGTAAAGAAAACTCTGGCCAGGCACAGTGGCTCACGCCTGTAATCCCAGCACTTTGGGAGGCTGAGGCAGGCAGATCACTTGAGGTCAGGAGTTCCAGACCAGCTTGGCAACATGGTGAAAACCTGTCTCTACTAACACAAAAATTAGCCAGACGCAGTGGCATATGCCTGTAATCCCAGCTACTCAGGAAGCTATGGGAGGGGAATAGCTTGAACCTGGGAGGTGGAGGTTGCAGTGAGCCGAGATCATGCCATTGCACTCCAGCCTGGGCGACAGAGTCAGACTTCATCTCAAAAAAGAAAAAAAAGAAAACTCAGTTAATTTAAAAAAAAAAAAAAAGTTTAAGGACCATGAAAATTTTAATACTAGTGTGTATGTAAGTTATTAACTTTGGTAAATAACAAGACCATGAAATCTGTCTGGCTCGGTTTATTAGATATCATGTTTTCTGCATTTGTTGTGAGTTGGAAATGTGTGAGTTAATCATGGGCGTATAATAAAAACTATGAGTATTAGAGTGAGACAGACCTGAGTTTGAATCATGGCTCTGTCTTGGTAGCTTAATCTTGGATAGTTACTTAGCCTGCACCTGTTTTCTTCTTTATCAAGCGTGGAAAGCAATATAATTTAACTATGTTTCTCAAAATATGGTCAATCAATTTCTTGATCTGAATCCCCTGGGATGCCCTGTTTAAAATACAGCTTTATAGTCTGGCACTGTCCCAGATTTAGTGACCTTAAATTTCTTACTAGAGCCCAGTAATTTTTAACAAGTACCCCTGGTGCTTCTTATGTACTCTTAAGTTTAAGAATCACTGGTTAAGAACTTGGGCTTTAGACTATAGAGAGTTGAGAGCTCCATTCTGAGCTCTGCCGCTTCCTAGCTACGTGACCATAAACAAATTACTCTTCAAGCCTATTCTTCATGGTAAAATGGGGGTAATAATGATACTTACATTATAGGGTTATGAGAAATAAGTAAGATAATACAGGTAAAACACCACTATGTGCTTGGTGCATAGTACGTGATTGATAATGTTTCCTTAAAAGCCTATCTCAAATGGCATTATTGGGAGTTTACTTCAGTAAACAACATAGGCCAGAACTTCTTAGATGTCAGATACTCAAATACTTCTTCCCCTTCTCTGAATTTTGTCCTTAGGTATGACAGTGGTATCCTGACAAACTTTACACGGACGCTTCCAATTCAGTGTCCCCGTTTACCATAAAAAATTCAGACAAATACTTTCATCTGGAGCAGTGAGAACAAAAAACCCTAAGTGATGAATATCCTTCCAAAAAGCAATTTCATGAAGTTGCTGCCAAAGCAGACATTTACTTCTTTCACAGTTTCATTCCTCAGGAAAATATGAAGGAATTACCTAAAATTTATAAATACTGGTATTTCAAAAAACTATTTCTGAAGTCCTAGTAGTCTAGTGAAGCTCATAAAACAAGTAAGTTTATCTGCCAACCTGAGTTCAAGAGTCTTCACTCGACCATAATGATCACAGTGACTAAGGTTTCACCACGTTCCCAGCAGCCTAAAGTCCAGATGGATGGCCTGTTTACATTCTGTGACTTGTTTTATCTAAATGAGTGCTTCCCCAAACTAACAACTATCAGTCACTGCAAACCCTGACTGCCCACCCCCAACCCCACCCAAAAAGGGGTAAAAACAAAATCAGTTCCTCAACTCAACAGTTCATCCAACTAGAAAACTGTTTCTTTAAGAAATGGCCAAAACTGAGAGTGAAGCTGTAAGATAATACCTGCCAATTTCTGACACTGTTTTCAAAATATAATAATTATAATTAGGTGTATATTAAATTGGGAGGGAAAAATGGCCAGGGAAACATTAAAATCAGCTGCATTTTCACCTCTGTGTTCTCCTTCCTTTCTTCTATGGGTTTATCCTGATCTTACAAAAAGATTCCTTCCTTGGGCTATACGGCCTTTTATGACTTAGCTCTACCTAAGGCTAGTACAGGATTTTTTTTTTCTTCTTTTTGATGGTAGAAATGAAAGAGCTGTACTTAGAAGCAAATCCTGCTTCTCCTCCTCCCTAGCTCCAGGGACTCAAAGTTAATGTGAAAGCCCTTTACAGGAGAAATATTTTCAGAGCAGTAAAAATCAAAGTACTTTTGTCCTTCTAGAAGAAAAAAAAAAAAAAAAAGGAGGAATTTTCTGGAAAATAGACTTTATACCAAAAATATAAAAAAGAAAAGAAAGAAATATATTGGACCATGCATGTTTAACATTTATCTTCCAGATATTTCATTTCATATTATAAATAATAACAGCTACCATTTTTGAGTACTTGTACAATTTATTAAACAACAATGTGACAGACACAGTATTGTACTAATTGTTTCATATGCTTTATTCTATTTGTTCCAAATACAATACTATAATAGTTATTCTTAGACTTCTATTTTTACAAGTGGAAGAACTGAAACTTACAAAATTAAAATAATTTACACAGCTAGTGGGAAGAGAAGCCAAGATTTGAACCAAGGTTTACCTGATACCAAAAACCCATTCTCTTAACACACTGCCTCACCATTAACACTTTAAAAATTATCTTTATTTTACACAGTGCACAAAGGCAGGAATGTATGTTAATAGTAAAATCACCTGAGAGATACGGTCCATTTGGGTCCATGTGAATTTATATGTGTGTGTATGTCTGTCTGTCCTGTCCCCTCACCTTCATACCAATCAGCATGGTGTGAAGTTAGAACTTGTCCCTAAATTTGAAAGTTTCTTGAAAAGAACCATCCCATCCATTCCTAGTTCACAAAGTAGAAACAGAAAGCCCTGGTGTTCTTTTTATGTGTGGGTGAAGGGAAGAAGCTAAGAAGAAAAGTTCCTCTCTGGAGAGAGTTTTACACCAGCCAACAGCCAAATGCAAAGCTCTCCCTAATTGCTGTGCCCTGGTGGTATCCTTCACCTGCAGCTCTTATCAGTCTAATGTTCCCTCTGTGGTTAAGGGTACCACCCAACACTGGAAAATCCTTAGTTTATCAAACTTCAATGAGACAGAAGTTCAAAGCTCTTTCCTGGCAATAAAACATGGAGAGTGTCATTTTACATTTTTTTTTAATGCAAAGGAATAGGCTTTAATTTACGTGAATGATTAAAGAATAAAAACAGCACACCTGCATCCCTGGAGGGCAAAGATATCTGGGCACCTTAGCTGCCCTCTTGGAAAAGGAAAAGCATTTAAGACAGGCTTTTCCTCTTTGGCTTTGCCATGAGTTCCATAACAAGAGGAGGATTAAGTTTTCTAACATGTACCTATGATCTAGTGTCCTAAAATTCACTCTAATGCCCAATCGTCCATGTCTTGCTCAGAGAGTATCACTGTCTGAAATAAGCATTTAGAATTTCATCATGCTATACTGAAAAATCTATGGCAAATGTAAGTAAACACTATATGATCCTTACTTGAACCTAGCAAGTGAAGGCAACTGTGGATCAGAAACTTCTTGGTTCTGTTGACTCACCCCATGTTGATCACATAATCTCTTTATAACACTGTCAATCCTGCTATAAAATGGGTATGATTCTAAGAATATGTCTGATAATAAACTACTTCTTTAGAAAACATTCAATATATGCAAAAGGTAACATGTCAATGATTATATTAATATTGCTATATGCTGACTCTATAGATTAAAACAGCATAATAATTTTTACTGCAATGGTTAAGAACATGGGCTCTTGACCAACTGAACCTGGATTTGATTTCTAGCTCTGTCATTTACTGACTGTGTGATTTTATATAATAATTACCTTATATCTCTGCCCTTTTCTATAAAATTGGGCAATACTAGTACCTACCACAGAAGACTGTGGTGAAGATTAAATAAAATAATCTGTGTAATCATCTTAGAATAGTGCTTGCCACATAGTAAGTGCTCAAACAATATTAGCCCTTTACCTCCTTATTGAAAGTTCTGCTCTTCAAACCAAGATGTTTAGATTATCTTCAAAGATTCTTGGGATATATAAAACCTACAACTATAAAAATATACATCATCATATACCCATTTCAGGTATGGCCTTTAAACTTGTAGGAAGCATTCATTTATTAACTGCTAATTACTCGGCAGGCCCTCATTTATATGGGGAAAATCCAAAACTATTTCTTTTTACTCTCTTCCCAAGCATAAATACCATCAAAGTGTTAGTTGTTTATTTCACAATTAAATGATAAGGGGTCCTATTTGGAAATTTTTGCTTGAAGGGTCTAGAATTTCCACCTTAACATTAGTTAGAGCACTCTTTTTAAAAAATTATTATTTAATACAGAGTCCTAATACTAGAATAAGTAAGTCTCACTGGAAAAAAATCTTCACATGAATTGCTATATATGATATTAACAAATGCACACATAGGCAATAGCAGTACAAGTGAAAAGCAGAGTATATACATATACTCAACTTTTTCCTCCCTTGCCAGAGTTTGATAAATAAATTGATAAATACATAGAGTTTTCCTCCCTTCCTTTTGAGACATATTTTGGTCTATGAGGCCTCTGGAGATTGAGATCCTGGATGGCACAAATAAATG